TTTTTTTGTGTGTGTTTATCCTAAAAGTATACAGTAGTGCTGGAAAAACACACATAGTAGTGCTTGCAAAAAAAAAGCGCTAATGAAATACGTTATTCTAACAGAGTGAAATTGGCTAGCTTGCATTGTTTACCGGCTCCCCTTCTCCCTCAACGTGTTTGAGTGAGTGAGGAGGCTGTGAGGGGTTTAATCAGCTTATCGATCACAGTCAGTGGAAGAGGGAGCGGGTTCTTTTGTACCGGTTTGTTGCCTCATTTTTCTAGAAGAATGCAACAGCTATCATTGTTGTCCGGGGGGGTTGTCGTCATTCGGCAGAGCCTCAATTCACAGTTCGTTTCGAGCGGGATGCGCATTTGCTGCCCCTCATCTGAGCTCTCCACATTCATTGGTACCTTACCTTCCCACTATCATAGATTGTTGGATAAATTGGGAGCCAGGCGCCTGCCCAAGCACTTTCTGTTCCGATGGGCAATTATTACCACACGGCGTAGCGCCTGCTAGAATTTTGTGGATTGCATCGTAGCATGAATTTTTGTTTTTGGTCGCTGATACATGTAGCGTCAGCCCGGTGACCGGTCTTGTCATGAAGTGTGCTGGATGTGGGACATCTTGGCTTTCCTTGGGGAACGCTGTGTAGATTTGCAACAGGCTCGGATGTTCAAAAGACGAGTGCTTTTTGCTCCAGAAATAGCGAATTACGAAAAAATCGTGTCCTTGTTTCCCACGTTCCTGAATTTGCTGCTTCCTTTCCCATCATTTTCAAATTTTTCCCCTTTTTCATATCTCCTTGAAAGTATCGGGCATGTCATTTCAGACCTGAATTTTTTTTTTTGAAAATATAAATGCATATTTCCGGAAAAATTTGATTTAAAATGACATTTTGCATAATATGCGACCTTAAAAATTTAATATTTTGCCGGCCCTGCTAAAAACCGTTGATGCCGCCCAGCAGTGAGTGGCATTCTCAAGGATGTCAGCGGACATTCGAGCGGGCCTTGAGGAGATGGCATACGCATATCCTACAGGCGGTGGGCATTAACTGGAATTTAACGGCACCAGTTTTGAAGGGTCTGGCATTGCTGCAGGCGACAAGTGGGAGTATCCCAGTAACATTTTTGGTATGGATCCGTACTGTGCCGATTGTCCGGGTGATCTTATATATGTGTTCCTAGCAGTGTGTACAACTTTGTTTAATTATTTGCTTGCGTGTTTGAAAATAGAGATATTTGAATTCCTCAAAATGTACATTTAAAATCGTTTGAAAGTTGCTTCCTGTTTGAAACATGTAAAAATCTTAAGAGCTCTGGCCAAGTTTTTTTAAAAAATCTTCCATCAGTGGTTTTCGCCTCCATTTGTTACCGTAAATTTATCGAAGCGGGCGATCGGTTGCTGGTGCGCGAAATGCCCCGTTCATTCCCTGCGCCGCACACAGTTGTTTCATTTCAGGCTCATACACGTGCACGGATGATTGTAAGACGATAGCTTCTGGCGTACTCGTCTGCTTAC